CGCCTGTAGAAGTCCTCGGTGGCGCTCTCTGTGGGGACAGGCGTGCGGTGTCACCTCTCCAGGGCCTCCTGCTGGCACGGGAGGCCCAGGGAGGGTGCAGAGGTGGAGAAGGCTGGGATGGGGCTGTAGGAGGGATTCTGGGCGCTGACTGGCCGGGGGCGATATTGGCAATGAACTGGCTGGGCAGTGCTTTTGGAAGATCCCGGGGAACCGATTGCTGCGCAGTGCAGTGTCCATGTGGACCCTGAGCCCTGATGGGGTGGGCAGTGCGCCAGGTCTGTGTGGGATCCTGGGTGCTGGTTGACTGGGAAGCGCAGTGGATCTGCGGGGGACCCTGGGCACTGACTGGCTGGGCAGCACAGCAGGCTGGTGGAGTGATGGAGGAGCTGCAGAGTTTCTGCTGTGAGCAGCCACCCCAGGAGCATTGGGAAACTGGGATGCTTGTTCTGCCTGTGCCCCTTTGTGAGCCCCATGCCCCTCCCCACTTGGTTTTTGGGGTTAGCGGGGTGCATGCCCTCCTCCACCATCCCACCCCCAGGGCTGCAGAACTCACCTCCAACCTTGAGGGTGGTGTAGGAAGTGTAGTCCGGGGCTGACAGGGCCAGGCTGCTGGCCAGCGGCAGGCGCTTGCCGTGGCTGTGGGGCCGCCCCAGTGAGGGGGCAATGGCCACCGCGTTGTTCAAGGGTGGCTTGTCTGGAGGGGCAGAGATGGGTGGGGGCTCAGCCGTAGGCTGTGCCCTCCCACTGCCTTTATTCACTTAAGCGAACTTACTTTTCCCCACCACACCGGTGCCTTACCTGTGCTGTTTCTGGGGGGTCCCCGGGCCAGCCCCTCGCCCAGAGGCACCTGCACACCCCCCATGAGGCTGTCCATATTCTCAGAGGGGCTGTGGCCTGGCTGCTTCAGCAGATCTGTCAGTGTCCTGGAGAGGGGGTGAAGGGCTGTTAGAACAATATCCTACTCCTCTGGGACCCCAAATGCATCCCAACCCTGAACTTCACTCCTTGAAGGCAGAGCTAGGCAGCCTGGGGCTAGGAAAGAGCCACTGGGAGCAGTGCACCCAGAGTGTACCCAAGCTACTAATCCAGCTTTTGCAGGAGGGCTAACAAGTCTAATGGCTAATTGGGGTCTAGCTGGGGCTGAGCCCTCCCAGAGCCAGGGGCATCAATGGGTAAGAGCGGTGAGGGAGATGCATGGCTTGAAGCAGGCTGCAAGGGTACAATGAACTGAGACAGAAGGAAACTGATCTGATGGAAGCTGGAGCAACACCTCTGGGATGCTCCCCTGGTGGAACAGGGGAGAGGAGGCAACACCTCCAGTCAAGTCCCTTCAAAACAGAGAAGACCCCAAGGAAGTGATTAGAGAGGCCACTTGTGCGCCTTCGGGGAGGGAAATAAACTAGTGGCAGCCTCTGGTGCAGGCGCTGTCTGTGCAGAACACCCTCCTTGTAAGTAACAGCATTAAACATTAAACACCATTACATAAGATAGAGCCCTATTTCGTTTAACATTCATGGACAGAGATTCTGCAGTCCCACCACAGCGCACTGGCAATGCCAGAGCAAGGCATGCTGGTGGTACCAGAGTGGGGCACAGTGGCAGTGCCAGAGCAGGGTGCACCAATGCTGGTGGTGCCAGAGGAGGGTACAACAGTAGTGACAGAGGGAGCACGTTATCAGTGCTGGAGCAGGACCTAGCCATGTGCCACTGCAGCCTTTGGCAGCAAGTCCCAGGAGAGGATGGGATGCTCCTGCAGGTGCAGGGCTTTGTGATGAGAAGACACACCATTCCCCCTGCAGAGACCATCCCTGCAAGATTGCAGGGGTGTCCACTCAGGGCTTTTTTTGGCTCGCTAATCCCCAGCTCACTGTCAGCATGCCTCGCGCCTCAAAGGCTCTGGCTGGCTCACAGACGCACACCGTGAGCTGATGGTTAGCAAGCGGTTGGACGATAAAACAGCAGATTAAACTCAACATGCATAAATGCAAATTGGAGAGGGAGGGGGGAATAATCCTGACTTGGTAGATGTGTCAGCTCATGGCACCAAAGTGCTCAAAAACCTAGCGAACGTGATGCTTGGAATTTCAAGGAAAAGCAGTGAGAACAAGGGAAAAAGTAATGCATTGTGCCTGGGGGATGCTTATGCTTGTGGGGACCTAAGGAAGCCTCTTCCCTCCCAGTTTGTGTTCAGTCAACATCACAGGGCAGGGGCGAGAGCAAAGCAACAAGGAAGGGTCACTTGCCTGTGGGTTAATTACACATCATTCTTGGGAAGCTTAATCTCCAGATGGGCCAAGAGAACCCTGATATAGCTGAAGACATTGAAACAAGTGAGGAACAAACCCTGGCAGCTGACCAGCTGGAAGGCAGCTTGGCAGAAAAGGGCCTGGGGATTCTGGTTGACACCAAGTTGACCATAAGCCAGTAGAGTGCCCTTGGGACAAAGGCACTGAAATGGTTTCCTGGTCTGCATTAGGCAAAGTGTTGCCAGCAAATCTGAGGAAGGTGATCCTTCCTCTCTGCTTGGCACTGGTAAGGCCACACCTCTGGAGTGCTGGCTCCAGCTTAGTACAGAAGCATGGATGTACGGGAGAGAGTCCAGGGAAGGAACACAAAGTTGGGACTGGAGCATCTTTTATACAAAGAGAGGCTGAGAGAGCTAAGACTGTTCAGCCTAGAGAAGAGAATGTTTTGGGGGATGTTATCAATGTACATGAGTATCTGAAGGGAGGGTGCAACAAGGACAGCATCAAGCTGATGAGGTGACAGGTGCAAACAGAAACAGGAATTACTGTTTAAGCAGAAGAAATAACATCTTTTTTTTCCTGTGGGAGTAGTTAAATGCTTGACCAGGCTGCCTGGGGAGGCTGTGGCATCTCAATCCTACAGCTATTCAAAGCCTGCACCTCCCCAGGAACCTTCCTGCAACAGACTGACCCAACCAAAGTTCAGGCCATGGATGCTGCAGTCAGAGAAACTCTGGGCACAAGCTGTGCCTAGGCTGTGCCTAGGCAGGGCAGGGGGAGGCAGGTACCCCGAGGCCATGGGTGTGGGCTGTCAACTCGGGGAGCTGCTGCCCTGTCAACTCCCACCTTCCCTGGGGTGTACTGCTCACCAGCCCCTCCCCACTGGACGCTGCCTGCTCTTGCTTGTCCTCGGGGCCAGCGCTCAAACAGGCTTGTTTCAACAGGAAGTTCAATGCGATTTGACCTATTTTTAAAATTATTTTTTCTTTTCCTCGGGTCTATTTATGAAGCTTGAGCAATCCTTTATCTATGACTTCTCTCCACATAAATCCATCAATGCTCTTTCTCATAAACGTGCCCTCCGTGCTGACCGCTCAGGGCACATGGACAATAACAATTAACAACAATGGCTCGAGCAGCAATTAATGAGCTGTTTTGCTAAGGTGAGAAGCACCCACAAGTCCCCAGCACCAGCAGCACTTGGATTCACCCTGCCCTTGCACCTGGAGTAGTGCCACTGGCCAGGGCTGCCAGTAGGGCTCTCAGGGGCTGCACCCCTTCCCTGGCTTATCCCCAGGTGATGCAGTGAAGGGAAGGTGGACATGGAGGGTGACACTGTGTCTCACTGAACATCACCTTGGGCATTTTGAGCCTTAGTCTGGTCCTGTGGCTGGGGGGCTTGAGGAAGGTCAAGCCACATCTCCCTAGGTCACCTGGTGGTCTGAGGCACCAAGATGGATCTGGAGTGCTGATGGAGGAAGGGAACAGAGAGTAAGTGTAGCTTTAGACCTGCACTGCTCATCTGTAAAAGGTTCTGCTGAATGGTACCACTGAGGCCTTCATCCACACTCTGGCCATGGATGCAGAGTACATGAGGCAGTGTGTGTGTGTGGCTTGGCACCCAGCTTGCCTGAGCAAGCAGGGTGGGCATGCAGCCACCTTCATGGTAAACATAGTTCTGCTTAAGGGTTAAGCTTAAGCGTTAACAAAGACGCCCCAAACCAACCTAGTGCAAGACCTGAGACCAAGCATAGAGGTAGATCCAGAAGCAATAAAGATGGAGGCCAAGAGAGCTTCACAGGAGAAACCATGCAAGAAGCACTCAGTGCTCCTGATCCATCCCCAAGGGATGTGCCTGTGTGGGAGCAGGATGCTGACCTGGCACAGCAGCCCAGCCCAGGGCCTGACTCACTTTTGGGAGGCCTGAGCCCCATACCTGGTAAGCCCAGCAGGAGAGAGTATGCAAGTCCTGGCAAGGGGGCAGGGAGTAATGGGGAGACAGAAGCACAGCCTCCAGAAGAGAGGAGAGATGATGGACTGATGGGGTGAAGTGACATTACCGCGAGCTGGAGTGGGTTCCATGGATGAGTGGGGTCATGAGGTTTGGAGCAGAGGTGCAGCATTGCAGGAGGCACAGAGCACGCTGCAGCCACAGGTGAGCATCCTGGATGGTCACACTACTGCTCCCAGTGAGAGCCTCAACTTCACCTCCCAAGTTTCCCACAGCTTACAGCGTGTTTGCTAAGGGCAGGGGTGCCCATCCATACAACTGAGCAGCACAGGCACTGTGGGACACCTGTCCGGTGGAGCTCAGGGATGCTCAGGAAGGCGTGGGGTTATCAAAGTGTCTTTGCAAAACAGGAGTTGCAGCGGTGGATATTGGAGCTTGGACCCAGCGGAAATGAGCATCCCCAAACATTATGTTCAGTCTAGGGACAGACTTCCAGGTCTCCTTCCCTACTGGAGCTGGATCCTCTTTTGTCCCCCAGAGAGCCAGGGCAGCACCTAATAGCACACCATACTGCCTGAAAGCACTTTTTCTAGGTCTTCACCACTACCTGCTACCATGGACATCAACCGCAGGCATGGCCCTGGACTTGAGCATTGCCAGAGAAACACCCAGGACAGCTGGATACATAGTGAGGCCATATTTGGGGGACCCCAAAAACCATGCGGAGACCCAGGGAGTGAAAAGTCAGAATCGAACACTCACCTACTGCAGCTGCCAGGGCACCTGCTCCTGACAGTTGTTTTGCCCTTCTCCAGAATCTCCCCTACTCTCTAGGAGGCTGCTTCTTGCCCAGTTCTTCCTATAGCATCGTTCACACCAGCTGCAAAACTGCAATTCCCACCCAGGAGGTTTTCTGGGAGAGGCCTGGGGCACGTGCTTGCTCTCAATGTAATGGGCATGGACAGATCCTGGAGGCCCCCAAGGACCCAACGTCCTCAGAGATCCGGGGACTGAAGAAAAACACAGGCAGGTGTTCCTGACTCATGTAGGGTCTGGCCAGGCTAAGCAAGTGCTGGGGACAGATGCCAAGCATGAGCTGAGCAGGAAGGAGAGGGGATTGCCGGAGCTGCCATAAGGCCCTGCAGGAGGAAGGCGGATGAGGACGGGAGGACAAACCAGGTACCTGCAGTCCCTTGAGCACCCACTTCCCTGGGTGGGCCAGCAGCCAAATCCATGAGGAGACAAAGACATGTTGGAGATGACCAAGGTGTGGGGGTCTCAGGACAAGCTGGACACAGACTCAGGTGTCTCCATCAGGGAGGAGCTAATGGACTTTTTGCACCTAGTCACTCTTCTTGGGTTTGGACCAGGACCAGAACCATGACAAACGACATCTGGAGGTGGTTGACCTTACCCCCCAAGAGAGAAACCTGCAAGCAGCAGCAGTGGGAGCTGTCCAGGGCAGCACAAAGCGCCTCCCAGGAGCGGAAAAACCCCGGCGGGAGGGAGGGATAGGAATGGAAATCAAGACGACCGTGCAACAGGGAGCTGGCCCAAGGCCATGATGCGGTGCCCAAGGAGCAAATGAGAAGCTCCTACCTGAGGCGCTGGGAGAGAGGCAAGGTGGCACTGCCCATGCCTTGGGCCATGCGTGGGTACAGTGGCAAGGCAGGTAGAAATAGCCCTGCTGTCTCAGGGGCACCAAGACAAAGCGTATTCCCCCAGCTGCCCAGGCATAGTGGAATGGAGGTGATAGCATCCCTTTTTGGATGCTGATGTCGTGATGTCGTTTGGCACTGTCTCCATCAGCCCAGCACCCAGGAAGTCATATCAGCCTGGTCTCTTGCCTGGTTCATGGAGCTCTGCACCTGATGCAGCACTGCTGCCCTGCCACAGCTTTCCAGTCACCATCCCTGTGGAACCAGAGCCGGTCACAACTGGCACAGAAGGACACAGGACACAGAAGAGGGCAAGACTTCTCCTGACTTCTGCAGTGATCAAGGTGTCCTTCTGATATGCTAGTGCCCAAAAGATCTGTGGCTTTATGGAGAAAAGGCACCTGTCTCTCCAAACTCAGTGGGAAAATTCAGGCTTCCATGAGTTTAGAGGAAGGCAGGGACAAGGGGAAACACACAGCTCCAGCAGTGCAGAATTGAGGCTACCCACAGAAAACGGCCCCTGGTGAGTGGCAGCACTCCCACCAGCATGTGATGGTGGGAGAAGGCAATACCCAATGGCAGGGGATGAGGACATGGGTCTGGGTGTCCCAGGGTCTGACCCCTCCCTGAGCACAGTATCTCCTTCACAGGAGGTAGGGGGGGGATGACCAAAAAAAGACGCGGCGGCAGGCGAGTGGAAGGGGAGTCAGGAGGCTGGCGGAGGCCGTATTGATCCTGTCAAGGTGCCAACACTTCCTCAGGCAACGCAGGGGGAGGCGTGGGCACATAGCAGCACACAGCCAGGCTCCCTGCCAAGGTGGGGGCACAGCATGGATCCCCCCAAAAGTGCCTCTTGTGTCTCAGGAGGGTCCTGTGACCCTCCTCCATGGCTTAGTATGACCCTCCTCCAACCAGGGGTGATCAACCTCTGCTCCCCTGAGTGGGTGCAAGAAGTAGAATGGGTCTGGATTTGGGGTGCAGCACGCATTGGTTGCGTAAGTCCCAAATAGGTAGTACCCCAGGGGAAGGAGAGAGTGTGTTGGTGCTAGGGGTTGCAATCAGGACAGCTGCCTGATCATCCCAATGAAATTATTTCCACCAGCCCTGCTTTTCCTTTTTTTAAAAGCTAAAATCCCTTAACAAAATGGCATGAAAATGGGTTTCTTTCCATGCTTGATGTCCTCACCGAGAAGATGAAAAGTAGAGCCCCAAAATGGGGAGAGAAGCATGTACTGGCAGCGGGAGGGAGAGGGGAAGATGCACCAACAGCCACAGCAGCTGCACAGGAGTTGGGGGAGATGCAGGGGGGTTTCCAGTGCCAAAGTGTATCTGACACCTTGACCTTCCCCCCGCCAGCCCTGTGCTCGGCCCCAGGAGTGAGCTGAAAAGCAGGGACTGGAGCCACAGGGCATGGGCTCCAGGAAGAAGCTGCCCAATTTTCCACTGGAGGGTGTGCTCCAGGGGGTGTAAGAGTGTGGATGCCCCCTGCAAGGGCAGTGTCCCACACTGGTGCACAGAGCAGACACCAGGGCACACCCACGCAGGTGCGCACACACACGCATGTGCACGCGTGTGCACACATGCACACGGAGTTGGCGCAGCAGCCACAGTGGAACTGTCAGTTGCCACTTCGTCTCCCCCAGCACTGCAAGCAAGGCTGAGATCAAAGGGACTGCAGTCCAGAGTCACCCCACACACTGTCAGACTCTGTCTCACCTTCCTGAGACATCGGGAGCCACAGATTTGTTGCGGGGGGAAAGCCATGTCCTATAGCTCACATTTCACCCACCCCAGTGACTGGTGGGTTGGCACTCCTGAGCCAGGGACATGCCTCCTCAAGAGACAGAGCAGGTCATTTTGAGAGGAGATGGGTGTAAAACCACCCCTTCTCGTGGAGGCTGTCCTGGCTGCCAGCCCTCCCTGCCAGGTTAGTGTGTTGCAGTCAACCCACCCCCTAGTGTCTCAGCATGCTGGGACAGGGATTTTAGGGATCACCTCACCCTCTTGGCAGTCCCAAGGTGAAGCCCAGGTTAAGTCTACGCAACGGGCTAGGAACATGAGCCGCTACCCACGGGGAGATGAAGCGGGGAAGGTGGGGGGACTGGACCCCTTTACCTGGAGACGGTCATCTCTGTCTGGGGACCCTGTGCCTTCTCCAGGCCCAGCTTGGTGAAGATGCCCACCAGCACCATGATAGCCACCACACCGCAGATGATGTAGACGATCATGTTGGTCTTGTCACGAGTGGGGTCCTCGGGGGTCTCGTCCACTCGGGCAGGCGGCTGGCCCGTGTTGACCCAGTTGGGGGTGTCGTAGTTGGAGCAGCCACTCTGGTCCAGCCGCCCGGGCTTGAACTGGCAGCAGAAGCGGTACCCGCAGGTCCCGCAGCAGTACTGGTAGATGCCGGCGTTGCAGTTGAACGGCGGGTCCCACTGCCCCATCACGTCGTAGTACCCGCGGCAGCGGTCCCCCCCCGGTGGTGCCGCTCCGGTGGG